CACCCCTCATTCATAGTCCATACCCTCATTTACCTAGAGGCTTTTAGCCGGTATCCTAAGTTTGGGGAAACAGCTTCTGAGAGGTAGTCTTGAAATATACATCTATTAATAACCCCCACCATTTTAGTCACTGTTTTCCCTGACCAAGTTCTCTTTATTTAAAACTACTCAGAGGCTTGAGGTTTTACTCCCAGCCTCTCTGATGAACTAGAACTGACCTACTCCCAGGATTGCTCTGGTCTGTGACAAGATCCATATTCCATTTCAGTTGTTTCTGCTTTCTAAGTGTTTGCATTCCTTTTGTGGCTCTCAGATTTCCCCAAATCTCACGCATTTTCATTACTACATACCTCACCATCAATTCCCCATCCTGAGAAAATCCCCTCTCAAGACTGACTCACACATGCTTCATCTCCAGGCCATTACCTCTCACAGAAAGTCTTCTTCTCCCTGCATTCAGATGTACACAAGTGACCACAGCCTAGCCCAAGGGGGCAGGGGTGGGGGGAGCGCTCAAGCCACAGGGCATTTTCTTTCACTGGAGGCCAGGACAACACCAGTGGTTCTCGGGAACTATTCCTGGCTCTTGTGCTCAGAGTGACCCCTGGCACTGATCAAGGGGGCCATATGTGTGTGAGGGACTTTAACCAGGGTTGTGGTCTCCACAGCCACATGCAAGGTAAGTTGCTTGTCCCCTGTACTATCTCTCCAACTCTGAGAGAGCTTGGAGGTGGGGGAGAGGGTAGTTGGGCTGGGGGATACACAGGACTATTTGAGCTCAGAGGGCTATGTTTGATGCTGAGGATTGAACCTCGGTGGACCAAATGCAAGGCAAGCATTTTAACACCTGTAATAGCTCTCTGGCCCTTGGAATGATGTATTATAAAGTAGGCCTTTGCATGACTGAATATTGTTTCTTTTAACTTGTTTCAAAGCATTCTTTTATTTGAAATTCTTTCGATTTTTTGTCTATTTAATTTTTCCTCCATTCGGACTTTAAAATCTTATGAAGTTGTTACCTACCTATAGATTCTGTATTTAGCTAGCTAAGATTATACCTTTGCTATCTCTCAGGCAGGTCTAGGAAATGTCTCATGTAAAGATCACATGAGACATGGCACAGATTAATGCAAATTACTGATAATTTTATCATTTAGAAATATTTACATTAAGTTCTGTACAGATAGTCCCAGAACACAGCCATTTTGTGTTCTTATTTTTGCACATATTCTTTTAAAAAATTGTTTGATTCAGGTTACCAGTCATTAGGGGGAGGGGCAAGAAGGGAAGGAAGAGACAGACTAGAGTGACATAAGGACAGGGGTGGAAGGTCCTATGAATTGTGGTTATGATGAAGTTTACCAAAACCTGAAATGTTAGCATCTATTGTTAAATTTAGGGCAAAGGATGTGACTGGTGGTAAAGGGAGGAAGGAAGGAAGGAAGGAAGGAAGGAAGGAAGGAAGGAAGGAAGGAAGGGAGGGATACAGAAGAAGAAAGATAGTTTTTTAATTTATTCTAAAGATATTTTTCATATTATAGTATCTTGAATATTAGATACATCACATGATCTGTGGAATTTCAGAGTTTAATTGATGAGATTTCTTTCTTAATGTAACAAAAAATGTTGAGGGTGTTGTATGATGTAGTGGAATTTATAAAATGTAGGAATTTATACCTAGAGGAGAGCTGAAGGAGGATCAAAATAAGAGTGCCACAAAAGTCAGATCAAAGGGATTAAAAACCTCAATATCAGACCTGAATCCATTAGGTACATGGAGGAAAATGTAGGAAGGACCATCAATGATATTGAAGCTAAAGGCATCTTTTAAGGATGAAACACTACTGACCAAGCAAGCAGAAACAAACATAAACAAATGGAACTACATTAAAATAAGAAGCTTCTGCACCTCAAAAGAAATAGTAACCAAACTATAAATAAATAAATAAAATGTTTCCATTGCAACCCCCCCCCAAAAAAGAAACAGTAACCAAAATACGGAGAGAGCCTACGGAATGGGAAAAATTATTTACCCAATACCCATCAGATAAGGTGTTAATATCCAGGATATACAAGACATTAATAGAATTATACAAGAAAAAAAAACCTCCAAATCCATCAAAAATGGGGAGAAGAAATGAACAGAAGCTTCCTCAAAAAAAAGAAGTACAAGTGGTCAATAGGCACATGAAAAAATGCTCTACACCACTAATCATCAGGGAGATGCAAATCAAAACAACAATTCGATATCATTTCACACCACAGATACTGGCACACATTAAAAAGAACAAGAACAACGAGTGCTGGTGTGGGTGGGGAGAAAGGGGCTCTTTTTCACTGTTGGTGGGAATGCTGACTGGTACAGCCTTTCTGGAAAACTATATGGGCATTTCTCCAAAAACTAGAAGTTGAGCTTCCCTATGACCCAGCAATACCAAACTGGGAATATATCCCAAGGCTGCAAAAAAAGCACAGTAGAAATGACATCTGCACCTGTATGTTCATTGCAGTACTGTTCAACAAAAACCAGAATCTGAAAACAACATGAGTGCCCAAGAACAGATGACCGGTTAAAGAAACTTTGGTACATCTATACAATTGAATATTATGCAGCTGTTAGGAAAGATGAAGTCATGAAATTTTCTCATAAGTGGATGGACATGTGGAGTATCATGCTAAGTGAAATGAGTCAGAAAGACGGACAGACATAGAAGGACTGCACTCATTTGTGAAATTTAAAATAACGTAATGTGAGACTAACACCCAAGGACAGTAGAGACAAGGGCCAGGAAGATTGCTCCACAGTTGGAAGCCTGACTCATGAGCTCAGGGAGAAGAAAATCTGGTACAGAGAAGAAATAAATAAGTCAATGCTGGTTGGAGGAATCTCTCGGGATGGGAAATCTGTGCTGAAAGTAGAGGAAGGACCAAACATGATGGCCTCTCACTATCTGTATTGCAAACTATAATGTCCCCAAATAGAGAGAGAGTAAGGCAGAAATTGTCTGCCATAGAGGCAGGGGAAGGCATAGGATAGGGGGAAGGATCCTGGGGACAATGGGACAATGGTGGTGAGAAATGTGCACTGGTGGAGAGATGGATGTTTGATCATTGTATAACTGAAACTCAAATATTAAAGTTTTGTAACTGTATCTCACAGTGCTTCAATTTAAAAAAAAGTGCCAGACCAGGTAAATTGCCAAAATAGTCGAGTACATGCATGGCAGGAACCCCAATTTGATCCCCAACTCCACATGGTCATCCTCCAAGCACTGCCCCCTTAAATCACTACCCTCAAATCAAGCACTGAGCCAAGTATAGTAGCCTCTTTTGCCTACAAGTGTGTCTCCTCCCACAGGTATGCCTTGTCTGTTGAAATGGAAACTCTTGATCAAAAAGAGTATCGGACTACCACCATCCCCCAAAATAAAAACATATTTGAGACATTCAAATGTAATTGTTGAATAAATTAAATTGTCTTCAAAGGTCCCCAGTGGAAAAAATCTTTCAAAGACCCCTGTAACTCATTCTAGCTTTAGATCAGGCTTAGGTCCATTGAAACTATACATTTTAACCCTTACAATTGAAAACCATTCATAGCCAATGCATAGTGAATGAGCTATGTGCCAATATCACTAAATTATTGGTATGTATAGCAAGCTGAATTTAGTTATAGTTTGAGTTATAGTTTGCTGAAATCATGGATACTTGCTTTATAAGGGAACCAGTTAAGGCTGGCCCGTAGGTAGGAGGAAGCTTTGGGAGTGCTCATTCAGTCTTTAAGGATGACCAGAATTTGGGTTTTTCAAGCTCCTATGCATTCTGGAGCTCACCTATAGATTCTCTTCTTTGACATTCCTTTTGCACAGAGCTCTCTGACCTTACTGATATATTTGTTTTTAAAGCTTTAATTACTCTAAACTTATTCTTACCCAAAAATTTTGCATTGGCTGAACCTTTTGCCTGGGATATCTTAAAGATTGTGCCTCCAGGCACCATTTCTCTCCTTGCTCGTGGCTTCTCTGAGGAACAAGTTAAAGAAATCCCCCTACAATCACTTTGTCACAGTGCCCTATTTTTTAATGGCATATTAAATTCCTGAAATTGGGACAAAGAAATAGTACAGCAGGTAACGAATTTGCTTTGCATGCATTCAACTAGATTTGATCCCCAGCACCAAACAGGGTCCCCCAACCCCTGCCAGAACAGATTGCTGAGTTCAAAGCCAGAAGCAAGCACTAAGCACTTCCACGTATGACCCAAAATTCAAAATAAAATATGTAATTCCTGCAAGAATCTTGTGTATTCACACATAATCTTGACAATCATCTGTCTCTTCCTGCTCTATTTCCTGTTAGTTCCATAGCATGGGATCAGTGTTAGCATTTATATTTCATGTTGCTTATTTCTGACACCCATACCATAACTGGAAAATAGCAAGCAAAACGTACTTGCAGATATGAAGGGAGGGAGAAGAGCAACAAGGAGAAAGACAAAGAGAGAGAGAAAATACAAGCATTTCATTAGTCTGTGCTGTATTGTCACCTATTCTGCAATGAACACAATAGCTGCTATTAGCACGGCCCATCTTTCAGTGCCCGTGATGCTATTTCAGTGCAGCAAACGTGTATCTATACTGAAACTAGAGGATGATCATACTTGGTTATGGTCATTCTCAGTTAAGAGGTAAGTTTTCTGAACTTTTAAATAACAGTATGGGGCTGGAGTGATAGCACAGTGGGTAGGACATTTGCCTTGCACGTGGCCAACTCAGGTTCCATTCCCGCATCCTATATGGCCCCCCGGGGCACCGCCTGGAGTAATTCCTGAGTGCATGAGCCAGGAGTAACCCCTGTGCATCCCTGTGCATCGCCGGATGTGACCCAAAAAGAAAAAAAAATGACAGTATTTGGTTTAAGTTATAGACTGGCTATACCTAAAATAGAAAAATGTGCACACTATCTTAATTTGTAATCAAAAATAAAGCTTTTAATTGTAACTTCACTTCTCAGCCTTTTGGCTAAGATCAAGTGTAGCTTCAATGCTTAAACATAACTTAAGAAAAATGTCCTCTTTTTGTGTAATACATAAATTTTATTATTTTGAGGTTTTTATTATACCCTTAACAGTTTTTTTTTTCCTCAGCTGGTAAAGACAAGGAGGACATCTGGACAAGTGCCCAAGCTGACTTTCTATCTGCTCTAGGTTATCTTCCTTCCTTCCTCCCTTCCTCCCTTCCTCCCTTCCTCCCTTCCTCCCTTCCTCCCTTCCTCCCTTCCTTCCTTCCTTCCTTCCTTCCTTCCTTCCTTCCTTCCTTCCTTCCTTCCTTCCTTCCTAGTATGGATTATAACACTATATAATTTTGAATTCAAATGTGTACCTCTTCAACTGTGTATGTTCTCCCTACTCACCAAATTACCAACCACAGTCCACTGGGCTGGCTACATAATCTTTTACATAATTAGATTTTGTACATAATCTTTTAGTTCCCTTTCTTCTCAAAAATTCCATACCTTTAAACTTCTAGGACCAGTTAAAAATATGACTTTTGCAGATAGCTGAAAAGCCCATTTAAAAAAATATATCCCCAGATCTCATAATAGTAGCTGCAGTCATGCCACTCTCCTTTCCAATCAAAAAGCAGTAACATTAAGGGATCCAAACTCCCGTCTTTGAAAATTACTTACCTGACACCTGTTTCTTCCTATTATTAATTATTATTATTATCATTAAAATTATTAGGAGAAGCCATCCAGAAGTGCTCAGGGCTTACTTATTCCTGGCTCTGCACTGAGTGATCACTCCTGGTAGAGCTTGGGGGGCTATCTGGAGTACCAAAGATTGAACCTCGGTCAGCCACATGCAAAGCAAGTGCTCTACTCACTATATTATCTCTCCAGCTCTTCCAATATCATTTTGTACATAATCTTTTTGTAGACTTTCTTTAACTAGATAAATCATATATATAAATTTTTGAATTCCATTGTAAGTCACTTCCATAAACTTCATTTGAAATTTTGTTCATTTGAAATGTGTCGCAGTCAAATATGTCCCAGCAAATTCGCTTAGCAGCAGCTCAGCCTGTTTCCAGTGTATGCCCAAGTCTTTGAAGAAATTAACTTTGGAAAAAAATAGAAACAAGAATTTCCCATGTTTAGTTTCATAAGTGTTATGAGTTAATAAGTTAGTCATTAGCCTCTGACTTATTTCAGGGAGCAATACTTGCTGTATATATGTTCTGGGAAATGACAAATGTTGCATGCATCATCACTGACCCTCAGCTGTACCACTTGATTTTTTAAAACGTAATTACCAAGTCAATAATGTTCTGAACAGGATCATATCTTTGCAATGAGTCACCTGCCAATTGAAGGAAACAAAACTATTCCCAATATTTTGCATTTCCCTTAAAAAATAACTCTTGTTACCATGGTGATTTTCATGCTTTTTTAGCTCAGAAAGCAAATGCACTTACTTCATTTCTACCATCATTAATAAACAACGAAGGAATCAGACATGGGGGATTATGAAGGTATCTGGAGACTAAAATTACTTGTTTCTGAAGGTGCCATAGATCAGACCCTAAAAAAGAGAAAATGTCTGATAATGATAAACAACAGGCCCTAGAAGCTTCCAGGTTGCAAGTCTGCCCTTTTGGAAAGCCAATGTAATGAGGGATGGTTTTGTGTTCGGAAACGCTCTGAGTGCTGCCTTTAATGCAGAACTCCTGTAATCAGACCTTTATTAAGTACTTACTGTATGCTTATGCTTCCTTTGTTGTAAAATGGTGGTAGTAATACTACCATCACTCAGTTTTGTAGATTAATAAGTTGACATTTGTATAGCACTTATAACAGCATCTATACATAGGAAGCATAACTTAATTGTTGGCGAAATAAAATAAACTACATAGTGAAGTGTAACAATCGTGGTAGTTTTTACAATTAGAACTTACAAAGCACTGCTTTCAGGTCTCTTAATGCTAGTACCTCCTTAAACTGATGTTTCTATATTAAAAGCTTTCAAATTACATAGATTAATCCATAATTTAAAGAGAAACAAACAGTTCTTTGTTTGTTTGCTTGCTTTTCAGCTTTGAGGGCCACCCACTGGTTCCAGAGCTACTCCAAGCTCAGTGCTGAGGGGAGATGAGGTGGAAATCAGAGGGTCACACAGTGCCAGGGTTAGACTAGACCTCTTGTGCTCCAGTCTGTCAAGATATCTCTCTGGCACAACATTTGTGCTTTTAATTGAACATCTATTCTTAATTCCTATAACCGAGTATGTATAGAAACCTATAGTGTGTATTATTCTGGACAGTTTTCTGGATACCTTAGATTTTAAAATTCTTATCATAATAATCATAAAGCTTATATTAAGTAAAGTATTGTTTCTAGCATTAAACCAAAATGTATTGACCCCTAGAATTTATATGTGCTCTTTTAATAGCTATGTTTTTATGGCAGATTTCTTTAGCAATTTTGAGCAACTTGTTACTTGGGAAATGTAGGAGGAAAAAATATAGTTATGTTGATGAAAGATCTTGTGAACAGATTTCCTGGCAGAGTTTAATGTTAATGATGAAACACTGTAGTATTTGATAAATAAACAGTTAATAGTATCAAAATGCACCTTTTTACTTTCAGGTTGAAAAATCTTACCAATTTCAGGGAGCCCTTGAATTCTTCTCTTCCCTTCCCGCTTTAACTCCTGGTTATAGTCTCTTTAATACATGATAGATTTATGACACTATACATGAAACTTGCTGATGTGGTGATTTGGAGTCATTCACAAACTTATTTATGCTTTATCTTCTCTGTCTATTATAAGTACGTTGAGGGGATATGGTTCCCTAAGCACTACCAGTGGTCACATCTAAGCATAGAGCCAGGGATAATCAGAGACAGGTTTGTTGCCCCCAAACACACCAAAAATTAAATAAAAAGAATGAGCCTTCCTTTGTTTGATACTCCTTTAATTAATTTAAGCCCTATGTAGCACTCTGTGTGCTATAAGCTATTTGTAACTTCTTAAATTTTTACCAAATGTGGGAGGAAAGAGATCTTAGATTAAGTATATGTTGAGGTAAAAAATGTCTAAAAGCAACTCAAGATCACATTATAAGAAACTCTCTAGTGTGTAGTGTAATGCTCTGTTGAACTGAGCGGAAGTGACTCTTTGAAAGAAGGAAGGTCAGTGTACCCAGAGTATTATCTTGTGTTGTATCTACAATTAAGGGTGTAGAGTAGAATCTAGCAGAGTAAGAAGAAAAGAACAATTCAGTACCCCGGTAAATAAACAATTTATTCAGAGGTGATGTGTTGTGTATTATGTAAAACCAAAATTAAAAAAAAAAATTAGATGAAGAAAAAAATCACTCACTTTTCTTGGGAGATTATTAGAAAGCATTAAAGAATGCTTCAGGTAAATCTATGGAGGCTGAATTCAAATTAAAAGGGGTTTAGAAAGAATAGACGATTGAAAAGCGAATGTAGCTAGCATAGAAGACTGGTTTAGAAAAAAGAGGGAATGAAAAATGGAAGTGGCAGGGGAGAGGTAGATAAAACAGAAACATTTTTAATTTAGAATAATTATTAAAAGTAAATTATTGAAAGAGCTCAAATAAAACTGTTCTCCTTTCCAATGGCATTTTCATGCTTGACTCAATTAGTTGCAGCAAGAGAAAACTGAGAAATATAATTGAATCAGAGCCAATCATGTTTTATTTTTCTAATACACAAGCTGTTTTAAAGATTGAGACACAGATATGCGTTTTATTATAAAATATTTCCAATCTCATAATAGCAAAGTGCTATTATTGAAAACTTAATGTGAAAAGTTTTAGATAAATGTCTGTATTGTCCATACTCAGGGTTGTACCCCACACACACATACACATTAAAAAAATAAAAAGAAAAGAGAGAGAAGGAGAAAAAAAGAAAAGAAATTGCAGCATTTTATTTAAAATAAATTACTGGTTTTGTGTCTGACTAGGTTCCTCAAGATGACTGGGCAGGATATACCCCTAGAGGTAAAGATGATGAAATTCCCTGCCGAAGAATGCGGAGTGGCAGCTACATCAAGGCCATGGGAGATGAAGACAGTGGGGACTCGGACTCAAGTCCCAAGCCTTCTCCCAAAGTTGCTGCAAGAAGAGAAAGCTATCTCAAAGCTACTCAGCCATCCCTTACAGAACTCACCACACTCAAGTAAGTGTTCCCAACACTACTTTTGGTAGTCCATCTCCTTGTTCTGTCACCTAGGTTCAGATTGTGTGACTTCTAGAGTAAATGGGGCAGAAAACATTTGATGGATGGAGCAGTGCGGTACATGCTACAGCCTGCTGATATAGACACAGAGTCTGACTTGATTCTCTCAGTGCCTTCAGACATCTGGGGAGCCAGGTATATGCTGCATAAATCATAAGCTGGACACCTTGCCCCTCTACCAATGTCCAAGAAGGGTTTGAAATAATCCAGAAAGGCTTCTGAAAAGAAGTAAATTTCTGTCAAAGAAAAGAACTATGTATCCAGCTCTTGAACATTGGTTTAACCACTAAATCTATAGTGTAACTCTTCCTTTACATATCCTTAAAGTTTTCATAAAATAGAGAAGATTGTTGAGTAGAAATTTACTAATGTTATTATGCTTTAAAATTGGGTGATATGTGAAATATTTAATGCATTTAAATCTGAACATAATGTACATTTAATATAAGATACAATAGTTGTTTTATAAATGATTTTAATGGTTGTTTTGAAAAATATTATTTAAGTAGTCCAAACCACAATCTGTGATATTTATAACAGAGACAAAATTACAAAAGAAACTTTTGAAATTATTTTCAGCAGGACTTCATATGATTTTTAATACTGTTTATGGAAGTAAACAGATCCTTATAACATGTGAATGCCTATTTGAACCTAAAATATATATTACAGGTGAAGAGTATTTTTAAGTGGCTTTGATTCTACATTTTTAGGAAATACTTATTAGTATTCATGCATTCCTATTACAAAATAAATCAGAAAATAAAACAATGCCATGAAGCTAAAGTAAATCAGTTAGATTATTAACCCAGAACACTAGAAAACAACTGACTATTCTTTGGTGGAAATTTATTTAAGTAGAAAATTCAATTATACTAGAAAGAAGTGATTGGATAGAATTAGAGAGTATTATGCTAAGTGCAGT